CAATGTAAGTCAATCTTCATCAGTTTTAATTGTGATCCAACATTTGCTCTACTTCAGTTTAGTCGTCATACTTTAAATAAATACCCCTTTACTTAAAATGTATAAACCTACATGTAAACAAATGTTTTGCTTTAATGACAGCTTCACTTTGACTTGGGTTGTTTAATAGAGTTTGTTGTTGTTGTTTTGGAGATTGAAGATACAGTTGTACATATACATATTTTATTTTTAGTCATCTAAAGATTTCATATTCAATACCTTCTTAAATATAATGTGTATAATTGACGTTTCCAGTAAAAAAATGTATAAACTCAACATCATAACATAGCAGCAAGTTTTAGATCTAGAAAAATATCAATAGAAGAAACTGTTCTTGTTTTAACATCACTCTCCATTTGCAGGGAAGGAGACATTTACGACGATGTTGACTTTTTATGTGGTGAGTTATCTTTGGATATGTCCTGTATTAAATGCATTAAATGTATTTCTCAAGCTCATGAGTGTTGTTTTATACTTATTTATAATGATTGTTGTGTTTTTAATTTTATATTTCAGACGTCTACGACAACGACGCTCCAAACTGATTATAGAAACCTGAGAACAAAACAAACACGTCACACAGTAAGAGAGAGAGAGATTGGAGGAGTAAGAGAGAGGCTAAAGATAAAAAACTATGTGAAAATGTAAGATATATAAAACGATATAACTAACATATTATACATTTTTGACTTCACCAGTTGCATTCAATTAAGCAGGATTCAATCGAGAGAAATTATATACCAAAACATCTTATAAAACTAAAGGAACGGAAAATTAGAACACACGCACGCATGCACACACACACACACACACACACACATCAATGCATTGTTTGCCAAACTGCTTGTATAGAAAGTGAATACACTATTAATGTAGCTTTGTGTATTGCTCAACTCTGGGATAATTTAAAAATAAATGAAATGTGTTTTTTTTTTACTGTTAACAGTTTTTTCATTTGAATATATGTTCGTCTTTTGAATAAAAAAGAAAATGCCTAGACCCTGGAAGTGTTTTTTTTTTGTCAAGTGGCAGAGAAAGACTCTACCTATACGTTGACAACCATCCAACATAATTGACAACCAATTCATTGATGGTCATTACAAATCATGAAGGCGACGTTAAGGCGCATCTTAAACTGCTGTCTAAAAATAAACGTAAATACAGTAAGATTGTTATTCACGTCGGTGGTAATGATGTTCGTTCATCAGAATGCACCACAGTTAATGTGGCATCGGTGTGTAGATATGCTAAAGTAATATCGGACAGCGTAATTTTCTATGGTCCCCTCCCCAATCTGATCAATGATGACATGATAGCCGCATGTCATCGTTTCAGCGCTGGTTGTCTCGGTGGTGCCCAGCAAACAATGTGGGCTTCGTAAATAATTGGACAGCCTTCTGGGGAAAACCTGGTCTGATTAAGAGAGATGGCATTCATCCTACTTTGGAAGGTGCAGATCTCATTTCAGCAAACATTTCAGAGCTTTGTGGACGTAATCCATGACAAAGTGGAGTTGATACCAGGAGGAGGAGTCGCAGTTTTATATGTTTCTCTGCACTCTCTCCAATAAAATACCCAATATTAACGGTGTGTGTGTCTGCCCAAGGACAATTTAAAGTAAAACCTATAGATGTGTCACACATAATAACTTAATAAAAGTAAATGTAACAACTACTACAGTGCAACAAAACAGGAAGATTAAATGTGGTCTCTTAAACATAAGATCTCTAGCATCTAAAGCAATATTGGTAAATGATTTAATATCAGATTATAATATTGATATATGCTGTCTCACTGAAACTTGGTTGAGACATGAAGAATATGTCAGCATAAATGATACCATATCAATACTCATATTGCTCGAGACACAGGCCGAGGAGGTGGAGTTGCAGCAATCTTTGACTCAAATTTAATTATCAATACTAAACAAAAATTAAGTTATACCTCCTTTGAAAGTCTCGTTTTTAGTCTTACGCATCCGAACTGGAAAACTGTGCAGCCAATCTTATTTGTTACAGTGTACCGTGCACCAGGTCCTTATTCAGAATTCTTATCAGAATTCTCTGAGTTAACAAAGCAACCATTCAAAGCTTAAACATACTTAATCATGAACGGCAATATACTTCGACTTGAGGCGATAGACCCTGTCAAACTGTTATTTTCAATAACGTCAACTTCATTTAAAGATAACACTTGATACCAGTACAACCAATTTAGCATACAGAAACTTTAGACAGACTTAACAGAGCTAGCTAATGTTAGCTTATTAGCTACATCACAATTAAACCTACTAAACAAGTTCCAAATATTGCTTCATAATTAAGCAAACGTAATAATGTATAGTTCGAGATTAATGCATGACTAACGACAAGATGTGAAAGTATTATACTTCACTTACACTGTTAGCGGGAGCCCCACTTCCAGAAGCCATGTTGTTGGAGATTAACTCTGAACTTTCACAGCCCCAGACTCCGCAAACCGCGTAGATAGCCGCGTTCACACCGGAGTATTTTTCCCACTTTAGTTCCGATATAGTTCCGAAATGTCGCGTTCACACCAAAAAGAGCCGGAACTAAAATTAGTTCATGAGAACCTTTTTACCCCCTTTTCCGTCCCTGCTAGAGAGCAGGGACTCTCATGCGGCTCTCTTGTGAGAAAAGAGCTATATTTCTGATTGGCTGGGCGGATTGCAAACCACGCCCCGTAAAACTCAAAAAAAGTGTTGTGAAGCCACCATTTTATTAGCATTAGCATTAGCCCAGCGCAGAAACGCAGAGAGACTAATTTATGGTAACACAAAATAA